TTTACACTGACCTGCTCGATATTTCATTACAGTGGAGCCCATTTTGATGTACTATATTACTGACGGCACATTCAGTAAAAATTGCTATAATAATTTATTCTATAAAAAGTGTATATTTTCTGCTGACTGACCAAGTTAGCATGAATATCATTGTTGTTACATGCGCCACAGTTTGATAACCGATGACATACAACATTCCACATAACTGAACTGAATTCTTTGATTCATTAAACAGGGTTCTTTTTAATGAATGACCCTTTCTGTGCGCAATTATGTTACTGTACGTATAGTTGTCCATGAAACGAAACGAGGAAAGCATTTCGATAAAATACAAAGCAAAGGTCGTTAAATAAATTTCCATCCTCAAACGTAATTTAACACGATAAAATATCTAGATTACTTCTGCTAGCACAGAAGCTATAAGAGTTAATTACCCATGAGAGGCCGTGACGTTTGTGTATGGAAGTCTCAGCACAAATCTTGATTCTTCCGTTTGAATAAGCAGGATAATTTGTGAGACACTGAGTGGGCTACAGTTAAAAGTTATTATATTTAATTTATTGAACCTATTTGTGTACCCGGAACGTTAGAAGGATTGGTCTAAGCAAATTAAAACTGTGCTTCTAGTACGAGTAATGGATTTCGTTAAAATTAGTGGTCGAAACACAAAAGACAGCTTCATTCAGCCCCACTGGCATTCAATTGGTTTTAACATCAGGATTTACTCGGTTTACCTTAAACTCTTTGGAAAAATCGGCTAGTGTCTCCAGCATGACATTAAATGAATATAAAATATTTATTGAGTGTACGTGTAGTTAACAATGTGTTTTAAATAGCCAATATCCTCGATTCCTGATCTGACTTTCGTCTGTCTCTATATCCGCCTTTGCGTTATCTGGCATTTGCTGTAACTTAACTTACAACATAACATTATATCAAGATATGGGAATAATGTTTATTCTTGCAACGTAACAGTGATTATTCCGATTAATACTTTGATTCCACAGCACACAAAAGAAAGACTGGTTTAAGTAGGTCTAATTTGTTATTGCTGTTACGTGATCTTGCTCGTATTTATAGTTTAATTTCGTACTTTAACAGATGAGTTTCTTCCATACTGGCAGTCTTAAGGTTTTAGTGGAAGTTATTGCTAGAATAAAGCACAGGGCTAGGCCGCTTGTGGCTGTTTAGGACTACTTTCATGCGCGGATGAAAGGCGTGGTTGCAGTGAGGAGAAAAATACCCTGAGATCCTATAATTTACCATTCTCCATCAATAAATTTCCTGTCTCGATCCACCCAGAAGCTAAATTCCCTAATAAAGGAGTGCAGCAAACACAAAAGACGAGAAGGTGGAAATAAAAAAATTACTGATATGAATATTTATACAAAGAACTCCCCCCTACTCTTTCAGTATTATTAAAACATCGAAATACAAAATAAGAAGTGATATATTATGGCGTATAGTTAAAATAAAGTCTTTAAATTAACCTTACCTTGAAAAAGAATGTGGTCTATTATATTACATTTATACGTCTTAATTTTTTTACTGTATTTCCAGGTTTTAAAACTGTAAAATATTCTTAATTTATTATACAAGCTCCCAGAAGGTTTCGTAACATCAATTAATAATCAGTGGTAATTATAGGGGTGCACAGATTTTGGAAAGAAACCTTGAAGGAATCAAATCTGATATTTTTCATTGTGTGTCTAGCCGTTGTTGAGTTCAGGTAGAGAGTAATAGGAAATTACGACCGTAGAGGACGGAAAATACGAGGGCAGAGCTCAGAGCTTCTATCTGCGTCATATCTTGTACAGACTCTTGTGCAATAATTTTGTGTTGGATTTACTGCGAGGCTCCTCAGACTGAATGATATTGCTGACAAAGTTTCCGATAATAGAACCCTGGGGTTCAACATTTCTAGCACACCCATAATTAGACCATATACTGAGTTGTTGATCCGGTTTACATCAATATGAAAATATTTCGCTAACATCCTTTTCTGTATCATCCATTTATCTCCTTCTGAGCCTCGATAAGAATTTATACTGCGGAAAAGTATTTGATTTGTATTTGACAGGTAGGACATATAATTCACGTTGAAGAACAGTCTGCCGTTTGACATTTTCCATAGTTTTCCATTCCGTGTTTATTAAATGCCGGAAAAGTATTGTCCATGTTCTGGGCCCTACCCAATTCGCCATGCACAGTTATCTCATTCGGCGTTAAATTATTTTGTGGACCTATGTGAAAGTATGAAAATTCCAGAGGCCCTTCTGCTCACAGGAAACATCACTATTTTAGTATAACTACTATACTTAATGCATTTAAAGTAATCGATTCTTTGTTTATCACAACGAGCTTTAATTTCAGACATTACACACCGTCAAATTCGCTTGTAAAATCACCATTAAGGACCTATCTCGGTATTCTCGTGAAGAGACTGAGGATAATCATGAACCATTTCGGTTAAGATAATCGGCAAACCTTACGAAATTCGAATTGGTTCGTTCCCAGTTTAGTCGATTTGTCGATAATGAACGTCACGCAGTTCAGCACGAACACCGAAGACTGTCATTCTGTAGTAACTCTCTAATTCGTCCTCCAAGAGAAATGCTGACGTCTCACTTCCAACTAGAACGAAGATTAACATTGTACAGTGAAATATATCAACACCTCATGATTGTTTTTGAGGAGTGGTCTGTAGACTTTGAAACCGAAGCTCATCCATGTAACTTTCAAAATTCAGTTCTTACTGCAAAGACACAACGTGTCTCCAGAACAGATATCATTTGATAAAATCTTTTCGGGCAATCAGCCGCGTTTACTGGTTACCGTAGGAAACCGACGTTTCGGTGTTCTGATGATGGGGACAGAGTTGGTTCCCGAAACGTCGGTTTACTACGGTAACCAGTTAACGCGGCTGACTGCCCGAGAATATTTTATTGATTGTACTCGCCGCAAAAGTTTCAAAGCCTATAGATATCATTTGGTTAATTCTGTTTAAGTAAGTAACCGCTGTGTATTCAGAGGATCATACGAAACCTATAAATAAACAGTTTAAAATTAATTAATTTAATATTTAAAACAGGTGGGTAGTTAACCATTGGGTTTTAAAGATTAGGTACTGGCATATATTTTCTTTTGCCGTATTATATTTCCTCTTACAACGTTCCACTACGACAAAGCAACATCGCATATCGACAAGTAGTAATACTGTTAGCAACTGTGGCTACAGATGCGGACCTGAAATCTCGTATTGACGCTGCTTGTTACAGCACTGTAACGTTTATCTTCGGTCTGCGTCACATGCTACACACTATCACACACACGGCTTGGCGCCAGCACAAACTAACTTGATACTGCAGTGATTACCGAAATATGCTTATAATTGAAATGCAATATGTAACAGGGAATTATTGACCCAAGAGACAGGAAGTACCAGGAGGAAGGAGAAAATAGCTAAATCAACAGATTCTGCTGAAAAAGTAATTCCTCTTGCAAGTGGGTGATGTTCTGTGTTACTTCCAGCACCTGCTTCTGCTTTCGGCTAGTTTTAGCGAAGAAGAGAGTAAATGGACACGATTATCCTCAAGATATTCGTTTCATGGGTGGTTTATCGTTTCAGATGCAGTTTTTAATTTTCCACTCTGTGGCATGTCTTTCTTAGCCGAATTATATTTTGGAAATAAATTCAATGATAATATGAATGTATTTAGTGTATTTATTCGACACGATTGTCGATTAATCTTTTAGTTTATTTTATTATGTTTTATGTGGCAATGTAAATTCATTTTATTAGTCCTGTTACCTCGTAAGCGAAGAGAACTGTAATTGACAATATTATCGTAATATCAAGGAAGCTGAGGCGGGCGAAACTCGCGTGCATGGGAGAGATGAGACGTGGTTACAAAATTTAGACGGAAAATTTTAACGGAAGAAGTCGCCTGTTATAGTGGGAATGTGGACAGAATTTATTTGGCTTGGAGTATGGTCCAGTGAGACCTGTGAACACGGCAATTAACCGTCACATTCCGGGAGTGGGCTGGGAGTTTATTGACTCGCTGAGCGACTGTTAGGTGCTCGAAAAAAGCTCTGATCCGTGTAATTAGTTAACAGAGAAGTGTGGAATCTGTGGGGAAGTTGTTCACCAATAAATGCATGCAAGATGTTTGTAGTGTTCACAATCGCGTTCAGAACTCTTTGACTAATTTAAATGTAAATATCGTAAAATGACATTTCAGCTGCTGTTTGGTTTATGGGAGTTCAAGTAATAAGGTACTGGGGAAAACTGTATAATGGCAGGCTCCAAACCTGCTCTATTTACGATAATTAAATCGAGACTGTTAAGATGAACGGGACGCAGTCCATTTCGCATGGGAGACCAAAAATATATATATACAGAATTTTGATGTAAATGTCTTCTCGTTAACAGAACACTTATGAAGTACTTATTAAATTGTATGAATATATTAAAATGGATATTAAACACGGTGTTTTTGAGTATGTGAACTGGACTGGACTAGTTCGGGTTACGCGTTTGTAAAGAAACTCTGGGTTCCATGACTATACGTTAACACTTGTAGCTGCGTTCGTATGAGCGGTAAAGGACCTGTTCATGAGGAGTCAGCAGAGATGTGGGAAGACTCGGTCGAGATCTGTTCCAGGTATCAGTTCAGAAATTACGTCTTGGGATTGGTTACGTTTTATTTAACGACTTTGTCTCAACTGTAGAGGTTATATAACGTTAGAAGATATACGACATGTTTATAGATGCCGAGTACATAAGGATTTGTAAAATTGGCTGTCGTAGCCTATTTAAGAACGCTAACTGACCGACAGAAACCGACGTAAAACCTCAGTTAGCATGGTCGGTAACCCAACCGAGATTTGAACCGTATACTATCTAAATACAAGTCCAGGGCTTAATCGCTACACCATCTTATTGGGTCAGATGGACCGAAGAGAACATCGAAGGCTTGCTACCTCAGTTTATTCCCTTCTTTGTACAATGCTTCCTGGTAAAATGGAATTGTAAGTTGCGTAAACACAGCGACACAGAAATTCCTGTCACAGCCGATGCCTGAGTTGCTTTGATCATGTGGTTAGTTGTGTACTTGTGCAGAGTCTGCTTACCACTTATTTTGTTCAATGACTGTTTCGTGTTTACACAGAAAGAACTTCAGTGACTTGAGCTTCTTTAAATAAGGTGGTTACTTAACTAGATTTAATTTTTGTATGCATAGAATGTAAAATGCCTTGTGCAGTGACATGTTTTCGAAGCCTCTTTTCAGCCTACTGGGCCTACATATCTCCATGTCTTCCTTTTCAGAACAAAGTACACATTACAGACCTTTACGGTGTCTGGCAGGTGCCATTCGCTGGTAGGGATCTTACATTATTCTCGCTAAAGCAGCGCTTTCTCTCCGGTTTCTCTTAAAATAAACTGTTGAATTATTTTTCTTGTATCACAAATCTTCAGTAAAGCCGTACATAACAGAAGCAACTACCCATTCACTGAGATATGACGTTCTCACGGTGGAAAGTATTATGATAACCTCCATAACCAGGGTTCCTCTCCTTTATCATAGAGGCAACAAACACCTCTGAAACGTCGATAAACTTCTACGAGGCTACACGGTTCAACAACTCAGAAGACAGCCATCTTCATTGCTTGCATAAGACTAATCACTCATCTGTACCTTCATAAAAAATGCAAGGAATAACAAGACTTCACTCTCTCAACTGACCCACGTGCAGAGTGCATCGTTTGGTGCAGGTTCTGAAACATAAAAGATATGACGTCATCCTTCTTTACTTCATACTACCATGATGAGAACTTACCAAACACATCACTTGCTCATTGAACTGTGTACGACTGCCTTGACTAGATCGTTTTACGACGTGGTCCCCTAGCAACATTCATGCAGGCATAGTCAGGAGGGAAGCCATCGGGGATAGAAGATGTTTATGAGTTCGTAGTTTTTGAAGGTGCCCGGTTTGAATTAGTACCACATGGCCGGCCGTTCCTGCTGTTTATTTGATTTTACTCGCTTCATACATGAAAATGATTAAATGGTACCTTGAGATGTAGGCTACCACCCACAACTGATTCCTTAACCACATTGTTCTAAATTCATCATTCATAATAACCATCACATAAGACGCTATCTTTCATTTTGGACAGCGTTGTTAAACAGATTAATAATGCAGAAGAAAAGAAGGTATTTGCTGCGTGTTTATCGGAATGTAAGGCAAGAGTTTTTATCTTCGTGGGTAAAATTGTTGGCTGTAGGATATACGACCAGAATCTTATTTCCTTCACGGAATTTTCTCTGGTCATCACATCCAGACCAGATATCCAATGACTTCTGGGGAACAGACGACCGAGGTATGAAGCTTATCACTAATGTCAAGGTGAAAAATGCCTGGAGCTTTATTTCTAGGAACAGAGGTTCCTGAGAATATATTTTTTTTAAATTCTGTCACGTTGTTTGTCGACTTCTGTAATATAAACTGTACCAACACTTAATTATGGCACGACGCAGTTCAACAGCCATATGCCTTATCATCTTATGGAAGGTAAAAGTGTATTTTGTACAAGTGTTGTAAACATTCGACTCAGTAATTATTTATCTCAACATTGTATTCGGGCGAACGTGGGTTGAATCTCGGCGAAGTTCCCATGATATCCAAAAGTTTCCTCCTTATCTTAAAACAGGTGACCGTTTTGTTTCATTTGTTTCCTAAACATTGAATACTCGCTACTCGTGACCATTATTTCATTAAATTTGTTATTGCAAAATCTCTGTAATTTTAAGGCTTTCTCAGAAACATTCTATAAGTCGGAAAGATTTCTGACGTTTTCTCCAGCACTGAGGGTTGCATGTAATAGTGTCATAACAATTGATCATAGTAAATAATACCTTAACATGTTCCAGAAACTACATAGACGATGCATGTAAACTTCAAGTAGTGGACCACTTGCAAAAAAGGTAATATTCTTTGTCAATAAAACGGCTATAAGGCCTTCTTACATATAACCACATGACTGATCTTTGTGCCAGACATGTGTTTTCTTGGCCTTTGGAACAGGATTCTTATGAGCTTTCGTTACTGAAAGTTATAAAAATGAATTTATTAGCTTCACCAAATGGCTGCCCCTCTGTCCGAATTCAGTAGCTCCAGAAAGACTGGCGGATTTTCATAAAATTTTATATTATGGAAATTGTCTAAAATATATCGACACTTTACAGTTACGCTAACGAACGGACAATAAGGGGCACTGCATGACAAACTAATGTTTATGAGTGAGAGAGACTCTATTGGGCTATCTTGGTTGTGGTTTCTTAGGGAATCCCCGATGTGCGTCAGACACACGTGGGGAATCTTCCATTATGACGTTTTACCTGTCACCCCCACCCTACGCAAAGGCCATTGACCCCAGACAAATAGGATGTCAGTATTTCCTGTATTTTTAAATATTATTTGATAAATTTTGCAACACAAATAGCTGAATCGTTTATCTAGTGATCTCTTCGCCTTAGGTTATGTAACTTAACTTACTTTTTTCTTTAGAAGATAAATTCTTTATCTTAAGCGTTGCGGGCCTTCCGGTAACGTTACAGTCTAGATTTGTATTCGGAAAGTAGGCTACCGTTCGGAATCTCGGATCATAGTGTCCGCTATTATGAGCCCTTCAGTGTTTCGGATTAGGAAGGAGGTTTTCGTGGCTATATCTGGAACTCATTCCGCAGGCTGAGGCAAACCAGGAAAATTCTCAGCCTAATTAGCCTGAGATTAGAACCTGATATATTCTGAATACGTCTGTGGCAACAATAATCTTCTCTGCTTAGAAGACGATTTAAAAACGCTAAATATTTTTTCTCCGTTTCTGAATGGACTCAACGTGGGACTTTATAAATAACATTTGTTATAAAGTTTAAGTTAGTAGACGATCTTATATTTTCATTGTGTTTATTAGCCGCTCCACTTAAAATAAGAACTCTATATTTTAGGACGCAATACAATACTTGCTTACCGAGAAGAAATGCACCTCACCCATAAAATTTGTGACCATTATTACTTACCGAAACTCGAATATAAATTAATGCAACTACAAAAGGTCTTAACATATTTTCCCAATATCATTTGACAATATCACGAAGTTTTAAAGCACGATACAGAAGACAAAGGATAATAATAATAACAACAGAGAGGAGAGCGGTCTTGGGTAGGCGGGGGCCAGAGCCACGTGGAGTCCAGAAGAAATGGCGGCGGGCCTATTAAATCATTGTAATTGTAACATTGTGCTCTAACGCCTGCAATGTGGGTGTTTTCTAGCTCTTCGGCGCCTGCTTTAGTTTCATTTGTCCTCCTTGTTAGTTAATTAATTCCGTCTGATTCCAATATTACGGACAAATGGCCAGCACAAAATATGGCCCCAGATTTGCTTTGTCTGTGCAAACAGAATGCCACAACCGGACCGACGTGTGTCCTGGCGTGGACCAAGATCAGCCACGACTTCTGGTTTTCATTCAGATCAGTGGGGGGATACTGGGAACGACCCGTTCTTCAAGTGCCTCAGCACCGCGGGTCCCAACGTTTCGTTGTCTCTGATCTATTAGACATTCGGTAGGACTCCTTGGACGAGGGATCGGCCCGTCGCAAGGCCACTACCTGTACACAGGACAGCACAACACAGAAAAATATCCATGACTTGAGTGGGATTCGAACCCACCGTCCCAGCGACCAAGTGGCACAAGACCCACGCCTCAGACCGCGCGGCCACTGCGGACCCCCAGTTCAGTGGGAGAATATATAATTACATCTTCTGATATTCTATAATACGAAGCCTTGGATTGTGTGACCAGGACTAGCAAATCAGTTTTTTTTCCCTTTCTTTTATATCAGATTCATTTTATAAATCACACCCATCATGCCTTACATTTCCAGTTTTCAGATCTGCTCTTTGCTTACCTCTTCAGCTCTCCGCCTAATCTCCTCTTTTCTTTTTCAACTTTCACGTTTTGTATCTGTATCTTTTCATCAGTTTCTCCTTCTCTCTCTGTCTCTCTTGTAGCGCACATATTCATCAACCTCTCCCCTTTTTCTCGGAAAACCACAAGGGCCTTTTTTTATTCTCAAAAGAAGTCGTTTAAAGATCTTTTTCAATCCGTTTCAGCTGCTTATACACTGAGCATAAAGCGTGATTATTCTCCGTTGTGTCCATTGTCCGTCTCTGTGAGATGTAGCTTTCTATTGTGTAAGGGTGTTCGAAGAGCAGGCCCTTGTCTGCTGGGCACGGGTTGTCTCCATGGATGGATGGCGATTCCTTCAACACGACTTACAACTCCAAGCCACAGAGTCACTACACCACAGAAGTGTGAACCAGTGTGATCTTCCGCATTTCTTATGAAGGGGTTGTATCTATTAGCGGAATAATACTTTTACTCCCAAAATGTGCACGATTTGGATTTTAACCCTCTAAAACATGGTGGTAACCACAGGTACCACCCACTTTAGCATTCAGCAACTCTGCGTGTCTTCAAATTAATGTATTTATTATGGGTTTCGTGTGATTCTAAGAATACAGAGAGATTATTTCTTCATACATCATTCAGTAGTCGATCATTGTAATGGAGACGCATCGTGAAACTACTGAATGGATTTAATTGAAATTTGGTACTGGACGAATTCCTCTAGTTTTCTAAAAAAAAACGACTGGTCTTACAAAAAAATCGGTTTACGATATCGAGTATAAATATTGTCAAACTTTGCAATTTTTGCTTAAAATGTTTTCAGTTTTGTGAATGTTTAAGGAAATATAGGGAAGCAGTTCATTTATTACTCTGTTCAGTGCAATAGCTAATTGTAGTACCATAAGATTTGCAATAATAGATTAATATGCGTAAAGTTCAACATCGAGGCCAACGATACAAAACAAAAAAACAGCAAAGAACGCATCTGGTGTTCTCGTAACACATAATTCACTTTTGTTCCAAGAAGAAATTGTTCATGTTTTTCCAAGTGGCATTTCTCGAACACAGTAAGAAAAGAATTGTCATAAAACTGGAACCACAGAAACCTGTCGCCACAGTCTGCTCATTTCTATATTTTATAAATCTATCCTGATCGTATGTAAGCCTTAGTCTCATTTTGACTTTCACAGCTGCACATTCGTACAGAACCTCCCTGATTACAAGACTGACTTATATGTGTCACGTTTTACACTAATAAGTTATATTTTCCATCCCGAGCATTTTATGTTGATAGCGCTCACATGCATAGGTGTCCTACATAGCAACCGAGCCTGTAAAAACATCTGCCGTACAACAGACGACGTTATATTTTTGTTTTCTTTAATTTAACTGCCTTTTATTGTCTTCAAAAACCATCGTCGTTAAATGCATTAGTGGCCTTAGTTTATCATAACTGCTTCTTACATTAAACATAAGAATTATTGAGCAAGTCGCTTATTCTGCATGCGCTGAAACGGGGTTTAAACGTAAAAAGTGCTCTTTATCGCCTGTTGTCAATGATGTTTCGAGTCAGCAGATCAAAATTAGGCACCACATCTGCACACGGTCTGAATCCTAGTTATCATGGCTAAGGTGTTTTGTGGTTTTCCTCAGTCATTTCAGGCGAATAACTGTGTAGTCAAATGACAACTACCCGATGTGTTTCTTGGACCTGTCTCATAATCTCATCTACTCCAGACAACAGTGAAAGACTTAATATATTGATAATAATTCAGTATTTACGAAATTTATAACTTGGTAG